ATGTTCATACAGAGCTGCATAGAGTATATTTACCTCTTGTGTAAATGGGGTACTAGAAAGATTGCAGAGGACAGGCTAGCAGCAATCCACTTCAGGCTGGTAGGAACCAATAGTTACCTGATGACTGCTTAATGTCCTAAGTCTTTCAGAGCAAAGTGAGGTGCCTCGTTATGGGACATCTGCACTACTGAACGCGTTCATCCTCTTGCCATGAGCTCACAGAGACCCAGTTATCTTTTCCAGCACTGTTTCTTGGTCAGTTTATTCATTTGCTGATTTGGTGGAATTTTTTTAGATGCATTTTCCCATGGGAGCTTCCTTCTGCATCTTGTATGCTTCACATCAAGTTTTAGCCCCTGGAGTATGAGGTGCCTACTTCCTTCCATCTTTTTCTGTATCATCAGCTATCATCTACCTATTCCTAATTTATCTTCTAGTCTGAGTTTAGCCATCTTTCCCTCTTAGCTGTCAGACTCACCCTAGGTGGCTGTTCTGTCACCAGATCCTCCAGACATCTAACTTGTTTCCTTCATTGTATTTGGTTTGCAAGCAGGACTGAGTGAAAATAGCCTAACCACCACTCTCTGTTTTCTCCCTTCACAGGACTGCTGTTAATTTCATTTTCAAAATTACTTACCTGATTTCTTCTTGACCATCTGTGTGGTGTCAAACTGTCTGAATAACCCAAAGTATAAATATGACCTGAATGGAGGAATAATAAATTTTGACCTTCCTTGGAAAGACTCATCAGCACCTCTCACTTCCCCCTCTTTAAGGAATACTTACTGCAAAGGGCAGTCTATTTAATTTATATCTGTAGGATTCTGTGTGACCATACTGATCCGCCCTTTGTGGATTTTGCTGCTTCTGAGGTTTATGGAGGTGTGAAGATGAAACCAAGCAGCAGCTGTTAAAGTGAGTTGTAGGATGTGAGAGCAGACAGTAAAACAGCAAAGGTTATAAATATGAATTTTATCTTCTTTGAATAACACTTCAGCATACTTTTTGTTTGGTTTATTTTTTTAGCTTTGACTTTTCCAGTTAAATAGTGGTTTCATTCTTTGAGTTATTAGCATAAAGATACAAAGGTAGACATGGCACTGAACAACAGGTTAAAGCATAATGTATCATAAAACACTGTGAAGCACTAATTGAAAAATACATAAGCTAAGTAAAAGAAAGTAAGTAATCAAAGTACCACATAGCAGAGTCCACTATCGGTAACTGGTCCCTGGGGAACTTTTTATGCATGATAGCTTCTAGCAGTCACAAAGCTGATTTGGTTGACTGTAAAGAGTTACTTACGTATTCAGGTCACACTTTGTTCTCTTCTTCAATTACAGCTTCAACCAGATATGGTATCTTCTCTCAAGTGTTTCTTGATAAAAACCTGGCTAAGGGCTTTTCAGAAGAAATGGTTAGTGCACTCACCGTATTGATGTTACCAGTTTGAGGATAGGAGAAGGAAAATAATGTGAAAACTGAAGATGCATCCATGGCCAGAATTATGGCCAACAGCTTAGGAAGGGGGTAAATAGTGACTCTCATAAGCAGCTCGGCTTTGTTTGCCAGAAATTAATCTATTTGGAGAGGCAAGAGGAGGGACAGAACAGTATTTCTCCAGTTAATGTCCACCTTATTCTCACCTCAGGGACAATACACAAGGTGACATTCCTGGCAGTTGTAATCCCATCTTGGATGATCAGTTTTACACAGCTGCTTGTTATGAAGTTGACTTGTGGGTAGTAGGGAAATGATACCAGGTGGCACAGAAAGGCAGGCAAGGTGTCCATAAAGGTGTATTTCACTATATTTCACTGAGAATTAAGCTTCATATAAAGTTTTTAGCTCTTAAGACTGCTACACAAAACAATTTCAAAATGATTTCATCACTAGCCTGTAATATACTGAGTTTTAATCTTTCTATTACTTTTTAATGATGTACTAGAGAACTTGGAGGCCTTCCATTGTACTGAGAGTATTCTGTCTTAAACTCCAGAACCCATACAGAAAAGCAGTCTATTACTTAATAATTTTAATGTTATTTTGTAATGTTAATGTTTGTAATTTCCATGGAACCCAGAAGTTCTGGATTTGCTGTGGAGTATTTGTTTAAAGCAGAAATCTTATATAAGTCCTTTTTTCTTTTTTTCTTTTTTTTCTTTCTTTCCCTTCTCCCCTTCATTTTAGTATAGGCATGTCATGGTGAAAGATGGATTTCTGTGGGACATCTCTCACAATGGTGATTTGTTATTTAAGATTAGTTGGTCTCAGTCCATCTTCTTCCTGGCCACTGTGTAAGGTATTCTTAAAAGATAATGATGCTGACTGGGTAGAGTGCTCACCTGATTCTTCAGGTCACTGGCTGGGTGTGCTCTGGGGACCACTGTATGGACACAGAGCTCCAGTCGCCAGGCTGCAGGAAAAGCCACCCAGAGGGTAAGGTGGGTGGAAGCACAGGGTTTCCATTGGAGCTGAGAATGAAGTGCTGAGGCTCTTGTTGCATCAGAGACCAACTCTGGTTTCCCATGAATAAGGTAAGCAGCTTGCTGAATAGGAAAAGCACTTTACCATTGAGAGAAGGTTCAGCCGAAAGAGAAGAAAGAAGCATTGTAGTTAGGACTCCAAGAGTAAATCTTTAAAGTAAACAGAAGTACTTTCAAAATACCTACAGTGTCCTCTTTTGCATCAGTGAAAAATGTGCAGCTGCTTTGCAAGGGACTAGCTTAGAACAGCTCGAGATAATCAGAAAGCTGATATTTTTCCAGTTTCCCATGAGCTTCCCAGAACTGATAGCTATAAATCCACCATAGGGAAGAGGATATTATGTTTCTTCCTCTTAAGAGATGAAAGAGGGCTGATGACTAATGCTGAAATGAATTGTTAAGAGACTAGCTTACTTGAGCCTGCTTGTTTGGTATGTGTCCCAATTAATACATTTTTGTTGTGACCACATTGAAGCAACCTATGCCCTTGTGACCTTCTCTTATAATTATTACCATCTCCCTCTTTAGAAGCACTGTTTTGATTATGTACTCAAAAAGCTCTGCTAAAATATCCATAGCATTAGTAGAGAGTCATATTTTTCTATTGTGTTTAATTCAAGGATAGTAACAAAGGGAATAATTCGTTATTGAAGTTCTTGCAGGTCACTTACAGCACTTAGGGGATTGGGGGAGAAGGCTTCTTCCTTAATTTCACAAAATGACTGTTTTGAGTAGGCAGAACTTGTTCTCTAACTATAATTCATTTAAGAAAAATGTGGTTTTGGGTGGTAGCACTCAGAGGAGCCTCAGAAGTCCTCAGGTGTGCTGAACATTGGACACTGTGTGTACAAAATGTGCTGGATATTGTATAATACAGGGTCACAGGAGAAAGTAACTGCAGCTGGAAAGGGGCTGGCAACTACAGCCATCCTTACACTTGCTGAGATTGCTGTGTGGAATCTCTGTCCCAAATGAGGCATGTTTTTATTATTGCCTAAATTGACTACAGTATGTAACAGCTCTTTGCCTAAACCACAGTGAAGCCATCTGGACACCTATCTGTGAAGGAGAGATGCATTCAGTGAAACCTGCAGTGGTAGGTGGCTCTGTCAGTGAGGGGTTTCCTGTGCAAGGGGGTGTTCATTCTCAGTGCTTCATCGGATGAAGATTTTACTGGTTTGTGCCAGCCTCCATGATAGTAACTCACACTCAGTACAATGTTTTTGTACTTCTGTTCCCAGCTCCTTTTCTCCTGTTTACCTGAAAATCCCGACTAAATGGTTTTCCTTCATCATGGTAGGTACACATGCACTGGTGGAGCTAGTTCTGGGTAGCACTCTCACAGGCGGTGTCAAGTTAGAAAAGTGCTCTGCATGTAGCATCTGTCATTCCAGTGGAGATAGAAGGTCTTTTACCAGAAGTCTTAAACCAAGCCCCCTCACCACTGGCTGTTGATTAGGAAAGCTGCTGAATACCCTTGCAGTTTCATGCACCTCTCATCACAGGGGTCCCTTCTCCTCAGACAGCAGGTTCCTTTGCAGAGAGTATTTCTTTACACGAGGCTTGCTGATACTGTTTCTCTTACTGAGCTAAGTAGCATCACTGCTATCCCTGGTGGTTTCCATTGACTCTCTGCTCCCTTATGTTGAGATCAAAACTGGCCATGCTTTTATCTTCTTGAAGCACTGTGTTACCCTTATTCCTCTTCCTCATTCCCAGCCCTTTTCTCTCTACGTCCTTACAGAGTGCCTTCATGTCTGTGTTTTATGCTGCGTGGAGTTTCTTTTTTGTATGGCAGGCTCTGTCCCTGAAACAACTAAAACCTCTTCTTTAAAGATAATGGCTCACTCTGGGTCTCAAGTTTATCATTGGATGGCCCTCTAAGCTGCTGGGGATTCTGATGCCCAAGAACAACAGGTGCTAGGTAGAGCTTATGCTGGATAGCAGCCACTTGTTGGCATGCTGTGTCCTCTTGGTTTAATGTTTGGCTGAGCAATCTTATGTTCCCCTTCAATGTAAGTCTGCTCATGAAGCAAAAATTCCTTTGTCAGTCGAAAAGGGTTGGAAATCTTCCTTCAGCCATGAATAATAACCTGGTGTAGGACCACCATCTCGTACCAGGCCTTCTTCATGCACCAGGCAAAGGTGGGTGATTGAAAAAGCCAATGGAGTGGCCTCTACAAAAAACAGAATTAGAGGTTAATGCTTTGCGCTGCTTACTCTTGACTTTCTCTCATTACATAACTTGGTTTAATTCTTTTAACTACCTCTGTGTCTAGAACACTCTGAGTAAATGTTCTGCTTTAGACTATGTATGAAAGACGCTGTGTGAAAGATTAATTCCCTTTCCATCATTAGGAGTTTCCTTTTTACATGAACTCATGTGCCAGATCACACAGCATGCAGCTGAGGTGTTGCATTTTATATGACATCTATAGGATTCTGCTGAATGGAATTTGCAAGTCATCAGTGTTCTTAAAATACAACTTTCTGTTGATTTTTTTTTTTGCATAGAAACAGAAAAGCTGGGTCTGGAGGTGGGAAATGGATTGCCATCTTGGAAATTTAATGACCAGCTCTTTCCCTGTGATGTGTGTGGAAAAGTGTTCGGTCGACAGCAGACTTTGTCCCGGCATCTCTCACTACACACAGGTAAGCCAATGCTTTGTGGCTGGTTGTTACAGTGCTGAGGAAGTCATCATGGTTTGTTTGAGTGGAGGGGGAAGAATGCAAGCAGAAGAGTGTGAAAGCCATTCTTGGCTCCTTGCACGTAGAGCAGAGCCAAGCGCTAAACCAGGATAGAATGTCAGAGTGGTGTTCAGGGAGTTAACTGACATTTTACTTCTTTACAGCCCAGTTGTAATTTATCTTTACAAAATGTGTAAATTCCAGTTTGTCCAGGTTCCAGTAGACCAGCCTGTAGATACCATCTGATTAACCAAGCCTGTTAATGGAGCTCTGAAGAGAAGCCACAGCCTTTCTTACATTCACCTGATGAGCTTTCTAAGTGCCACTGAACAACAAATGATTTGGCCTTGGTGTCTCAGATCTGGTGAAACTGAAAGGATTTGATATCTGTCACTCATCTTTGCCTTCATCATCTAGTTCTGAGAGGAAATGGGGCTCTTCTACCCCATACTAACTTTCTTAAAGTGAATCACTTCAACTGAGACCAAGAGTTTTTATACAGAAGATGCACCTTGTCAGCCTGCTGAGGTGCACTGCACAAAATAAGACTTGAAAGCAAGAATTTCTCATGCAGTGCTGAAAAATATTATTGGTATAGTGGCAGTGTACATTGCAGGACCTAGTAGAGCCATGCTGAAAGAGTTCAAATGCTCTGTTCCATGGTGTCTTGGGGTTTCCTTAGTCAAATAGCTGCTATACTGAATGCCTTTCCCCTAACACTTGTAACATTATATTCAAATTTAGAGCAGCAGCTCCTCAAAGAGAAAGGTTGTAAAAGCTGATGTAATGTTTAGTTATTTTATTTTACTTTATTTATTTTAGTTAATTTTTTTCACCTCAAAAGTGAGGGGTTTTTATTAGTTTGTGTTCAGAACTGGCCTAATGATATAGTGTCCCCTTTCTTCCTAACCCTAAGATTTTAATACAGAATCTTCAACCATCAGCTGTCTGTGACTGATCACAGGGACAACCTCAACTGGACAAAAAATCAAATAAAAGATGCTAGGTAAAGGAAGTAGTTGTAGATTACTGACCTCTTTCTCTACTGGCTCTTCTGCGGCTCTCAGAGCAGCAGTTGCCCCACTTTTCCAGTTTATAAAGTTTTATATTATCTGACTACAAATGGTAGAGAAAGTTAAAAACAAACAGCCCTAAACCACCTCCAAATTAGTTTTTTTCTGAGTAATTGCTATGAACTCCTCTAAGTTTCCAAAAAGCCAAGCCCCCAAAGTACCTCATTGGGAAAGCTGTTTGGAGAAGCCCAAAGGAATGCATGCTTGGTTATTGGCAGCTTTAAAAGTAGCTTGCTTCAAAATGAAGTATACATGTAAGATTTTCTGTTTCTTTTCAGAAGAGAGAAAGTACAAATGCCACTTGTGCCCCTATGCTGCTAAGTGCCGTGCTAATCTGAACCAGCACCTGACTGTCCATTCTGTGAAGCTGGTGAGTACAGACACTGAAGACATTGTCAGCGCTGTCACTTCTGAAGGCAGCGATGGAAAGAAGCATCCTTACTACTACAGGTGAGGACCCAAATAGGGGCTGTACACCAGGCACTGGAATCTGAATGTCTTACCTGCCTCCTAAAGACAGGGCCACCCTTCTGGTGTCACAGGGCAGAACTGTGATGAAAGTATTTATTTTGCCCATACCTGATTTGAGCTTAGTAGCAAAACCCAGCTGGCTGCCTCATGCTGTTTGACTTGGCTGGCCAGTGGGAGAAATTCTGGGGTTGGTTTGGGTTGGTTTTGCTGAACAGCTCTATAAGGCAGCTGGGCTCTTAAAAGCTTCTTTAACTTTTTATGCAGTGTTCATTTAAGTTTTGTCTTTGGAAACATCCCATTGCATGGATTCATGGCAAATCTAAAGCACTGTGCTTCCAGTTGCCTCTGACAGCTCATTGTTTTTAGCTGAATCTACGCCATCAAATAGTAAAACATAGTAAGAATTCTCATATTGATACACACATTTCCTCCATTTGCTAAAGTTATATACATCCAGTGACCAACATGATGAAAGAAGGAAAACCTTTACGAGCATTCGCCTGAAAAATTAAAAGGAACTGCCCAGATAAAATGGATATTTGGACACTCTCCTTGTTGCACACAATGTTGTGTGCTCTGCAAACTGCGTTCTGCACTCCAGTGGACAACCAGATTACCAAATTACTCTTACTTTCAGTCAAAGTGCCAAGGGCAGATTTAATTATAAAATCATAGAAGTAAGAAGCGAATGAGACCTGCTGGATTAGATTATCCAGTCCATCCCCCTTAGGAAAGCAAAATAGTACCCTAGAGTATTTTGCTTTTGCCTTTTTTAATATTTTTGGCTTGTTTTAAATGTTAATGGCCTAATCAAAACAAGAGGAGGACTCTGCAAAGAAAGTTAAAGGGTCTTTTCCATTGCCTCTCAATATCCCTGTGTTTATGCACTGGCTGTGAAATCTGTATCCCTGCTAATTCTTTGCATATCTGATGACTGCTGTTTTGCCGTCAAGCATAAGAAATGTTTGAACCCATTTTTACTTGCTTATGCTGAAACTGCCAGGCAGTTTTGCACAAGATCCCAGTTTGGCATGGGAACCATTCCAGGGCTTGAAAATAACTCCTGGAGTGTGCAGCAAGCTCTCCGTTTGTCAGTGTATCAGCCATACTAAATATCTTGGCAGAGCTGCAGTGTCTCTTATTGCCCAAAGGAATCGGCTAGGTGATGCGCAGCATCTGGAATCTGTAGTTTTTAATTAACTTTATGATTATTTAGCATCATTATAGCATGTACAGGATTGTTGCATTGTGCCTGCCCTTAATCACATTGGCATGGCCATCAGTTCAAAGGCAGCTCAGCAGACGAATTTTGCAGTGAACATTCAACAGTGAGGAAGAGAAGAAATCTGCAGTGAGTTTTTCTTGCAGATTCAGGGAAAGGCAGTACGCTTCTGTTTGTGGTTTGGGCTTTAATGTTTCTTACTCTTGAATTCCCTTCTGCTTGCAGCTGTCATGTGTGTGGGTTTGAGACCGAGATGAATGTCCAGTTTGTCAGTCATATGTCCCTCCATGTGGATAAAGAGCAGTGGATGTTCTCCATTTGCTGCACAGCATGTGATTTTGTCACCATGGAAGAGGCAGATATGAAGGCTCATGTCAACAGCAAGCACACAGGTGATGATCCCTCTCTCCCAGCTGCAGTGATCTCTCTCTTCCTTGCTTTTTAGGTGCAACCTTCACACTTCCCATTAGCACTCTACTTTCACTGAAATGCTTGCTAATTAAGGCCTGATCTCTCAAAGTTAAAGTGAATTGGACTCCAGCCAGGCAAATAATCTGGTAGTGAAGATCAGTTTTCAGGCTTAGTAAAATAAATGAAGGACTACTTAGCCCTCCTTCTTGCTATTCCCCTTATCCCCCAAATCCCCTCCCCACTGAAGTCAGCATATTTTGTTTGTTTTTCTGACTGGTTTACTATTTCATCAAAATCCTGGTCTGACTTCAGTGGTGATAAGGTGACTTTGAATGCTAACTGCGCATACCTGGCTGCAAATTTGAAATACACAATATGTTGAGCTTCGCTCTTCCGTGTGTTTGCCTCCACAGTCTGTCAGTTTGGAATCTCAGGCGGATATTTAGTTGACACTGTGATTCAGCAATACCATAAATGTAACTTTATATTAAATAACAGAACAAGTCATGTGTTCTCTCCCTGGCCCTGTTCACTTAATAGCCAAAGAGAAGAGCAATAGCAGTTTTCAAACAAGCTCCATATGCTTAGTGCAACTAATGAAGTCTGGCATAATTTAAGGAGAAGAAAATTAGAATCCTTTTAATTAATTTCTCTTACAACACCAGGCAGGAGCATTTTGCTGCGACAAACCTACGAGCAATTGTGTTGACAATACTGAACCTGAATTGCATCCAGCACAATTTTTCCATTGCTAAATTGCTTTTCCTGTCCTACCAGGAATAAAATTGAGAAAACAGGGAGGGATGGAGAAGGGAGAGAAGAATGCAGTTTGTTGTGCTCATAGATACATGAGTTAAATGTAACTACAGAAACACACAGTACTGGAGAGCTCTCAAGGGTTTTTATGCTAGCATAGCTCTCAGCACTGATCCCTGATAATATTTGCATCTTACTCCACATATAGGAAGTCAAGGCAAATGAGAAATGCCACCTGTAGCCATGTAAAAACTTTATACTGTGTAAAACCTCCCTTGTTCTTCCTTCACCCTGTCAAATCGAGCCATTCAGCTGGTGATTCAGCCAAATGCTTAACACATATGGCAAATACAGAGAATGAAAAATAGAATGGATTTTCTGGGTCACTCAACTCCAGTCCCTTACCCTGGGATGTTAGCAAGTCATAAAAGGCCTGTTTGTAAGGATGTTGGCATATGTCTTCAAACAAGTGTAATTGTTTTAAACCAACTACTTCTATAGATAGGCAGCTGCAGATTTTTCTGCATTAAAGATTAGGGACTTTTAAGATATTTCCAGTGTGTCTTACTGAGAAGCAGAATACATGCACGTTGCTCTTGTGCCAGAACAGTCCTTTATCTGAAACAGCAGTCCACCTCTTGCTTCCTCCACCTTTCTTCCCTCCTACCACTGTATTTATTCCCTTAGTATATTTATAGAGAATGACCGTCTCCCCTCTAAATGTACATGGAGCCTTTTCTGAGATGAAACACAGTTTTCTGACTCTGCCAATCCCTCACTGCATATGTTCTTGTTAGAACCTCTGTTCGACATATGCAATCACAGCTGTACATGGTGAAGCGAAGTAGTGGTGGCAGTGTAAAACAGCAGCAGCTACTGGGAATAAATCACACAATAACATTCTGTGATCATATTTACCTTCCTTGAAGACTCCCCTGATTGCTCATATTCATCCCATGTTCTGCTCAAATTCTTCTTTTGTTTTCCTTGACTGTTTCCAACCTAAGCACTCCTCATTTGTAGCAAAAATTCTTGTTACTGGCCCTCCAGGTCATAACCTTGTACTCTGTGCTATTAAATTTCATTCCATTTCTATTACTCTGGTCCCCAAGGTCAGCAAATCTTTCTATATGATATCCCAGTCATCCTCCCTATTGACAGCTTGAGTCATCAGATTTCATTAGTGCATTCCTGCATTTTTATCTTAGACTTAAAGGTGCCGCTCATCAGTTTAAAGTTAGGCACACAAGGACTGGTGTTTGCAGAGGCCTTTGATCACATGGAGAATATGAAATTTTAGGAAAGTTTCTTTTTAACATAGCTCTGGTTAAACCAAGACATAGGTGGGAGGTAATAATTTGCACATCGTTGGCTCACAGCAGTTCTCATATGATAACTATCACCTCTGCTTCATTTCTAGTGTGTGACAGGGTTTGGGATTTGAACTTCATGCATTTATTGCACACATAAAGAAACCAATGGGTTTCAGTTTTAGATCCAGTTAAACAACATTTTTTAAATTAATTATCTTCAATAAAATAAGCTGTTATCTCTTATTAGTGAGGATGCTCCTCAGTACAGTGAGTGAAATTATTCTCCTTTACCCTTTTTCCCAGATTTAGCTATTGGACCCACATAAACAGAAAAAAGGGGAAGTTTAGCTTGGACCAGTAGGCACTTTGGTTTCCACATCCCAAAGCTGCCGAAGCTCTGCTTCCTTTCTGGGTGACAAGGGTTTTGTTGTTTTTGAACTCTGCACTAACCAAAGTGTTTTCTGGAGGTATTTTCAGTCTGGTAATGAGGTAGAGTTGCACATGTCCTTCCCACTGCCATTACAGACACACTCAGTTCTAGGATAAACTGAGAGACGTACTGTTGTAAACGCTAATAAAAAAGAAAGAGGTGCAACTTACCAAATTAATCTTTCCAGATTAATTAATTTCAGGCTTGTTTATAAGCATGTTTGAATTAACTTTAAATATATTTTTCCTAAATTTAAAATGGGATCATTGAAATTTCATCTGATCTGCTATACTAGTGTTCTTTACTTCTGTTTTTCAGCTGAAGAGAGGAAGACACCCAGTGAATCTAACAGTCCATCTTCATCTTCGCTGTCAGCATTGAGTGATTCTGCCAACAGCAAAGAAGATGCAGACATAACTCCAAAAAACAAGGGTTCAAACAACCTGCTAGTCATTTCCGTAGTGCCTGGTAGTCAGACCTCAGTAAACACTGAAGAGAAGTCAGAGAAAGGTAAAACACTGCTAAACAAATAGAGACTCGTCACCTTCTACGCAGTCTGGCCCCAACATAAGGAATGCATTTTACTGCTTTATTTTCCAGGCTTTGAATGTGTTTTCTGTAACTTTGTCTGCAAAACGAAAAACATGTTTGAGCGCCATCTGCAAATCCACCTGATCACACGGATGTTCGAGTGTGATGTGTGTCACAAGTTCATGAAGACACCTGAACAGTTACTGGAGCACAAGAAATGCCACACTGTCCCCACCGGTGGGCTCAAGTAAGGAAAGCAAGTACACAAACTTTTACTGTGTTAAGCACCTCTAATACTATGCGGCTAGGACAGAAGGAAGTCAATTAGGAAGGGTCAGTTAAATGTCTGATAATCCAGAGTTGGAGTTTCCTTTTGTTGGGGTGACTCAACCCAGTCCTTAGTGTAGGCTGCCACCATTACAGCAGGTGGGTAACCTAACAGCAGATGTAGTATCTACTGGTTGTAGAGCTTTAGCAAACGATGATCCTTTCCCTTTTCAAGTCAAACAGGAGACAATATTTGATGTGTCCTCCAGAGAATGATGGAGCACTACACAGAGGTGTTTGTTTGTAGACTAAGAAGGGCTTTTTTTTCAAGGCATCAGAGCAAAGGAGAGCACACAGCACAGGCTCTATTCTTCCCCCAGCTCAAAGAAACTAAACTGTGTACGATCTCTGCAACTAGGTATGAAGTTATACCCTTAAAGGTTATAACCTTTTAGGCTCTAATACAGTCAGTCCTCTCCAAGAATTAATAACTTGGCTGCTTTCTGCTTTGGTTTGCATGCCCGGGATGATTAGTGTTGTATAAATTAACATGTAAGAAGTAATACACTCTTTTAAGAAGAAGAGCCCTTTGGCTTTGGCTGAGATGGTGTCCTTGAAAATCTGTTGGTGCAGAGCAGTGTTTCTAGAGAATGAGTGTGCCCTCATGTCAAAGTTGGGCCCTTGAGGGAAGGAGGGACTGCCGGGGGCAGGGAAATGTAACAGTTATGCAAGATGCACGTCCCTCTTCTGTGTTCCAGCTGCTGCAGGAAAAGATGCTGGAACCACTTCATGCCCAGGCAGGGTTCAGCACAGGGCTCCCTGCTTCTATTGCTCTTGCTAAGCAAACCGATGCTTTCAGCTCACTGTGACTGAGCACACCATAGTTAACGTTACCATGAGTAGCTCAATCAGTTTGCACTGCAGGTTTTGAAAACTGGTTTTGTTTGCCAGACAGCATCTGGTCTCCAGCTCAGTAGTTCCATGAACTGGGATCTGTGGTCACTTGAGATGCGATGACTGAATCTGGGAAGATGACCAGATTGAGAAACAAGTAGTGTGCCAAAACAGCGGAATGTCTGTCTTGGATGTACAGACCAGTTGTCTAATGCACTTTGGGTTAAGCTGCACAGAATCTTTCTATTTATCAAGGAAGAACCATGACCTATGACTCAGGCCTTCCTGACAGAATGGGCTTCTCAGTCTCCAGAATTTATTCCTGCCCAACTCAGGTAATAATTGGGTACCTTGAAAGGTGCACCTAAGAAAAAGCTGTGATTTTTTTTTTTTTTTAAGGCATCCAGAAGAGCCTGAAGAGATCCTAAGTAAATTGTATTTTTCTCTCTCCTGTTTGATGTGGGGGAAGAGGAAAAAACATGATAACTTCTGCTCCAGGTCAAAATCTGGGATTCTGATCCAGAGAGCACCCAGCCCAGAAGAGGTATATGTGCACAGACAGCTGAGTCCTCTGTTGCAATAGAGCTGATTATGTTAGCCGTCTCAGTGCTAGGCTCTGGATCAGAGTGCTTGATGTGCATCAGGAAAAGTGTTTGGATGTTTTAGTATTTGTTTGTCCTCCTGTATTACTTACTGTGCTCTTGATTGGCAGGTAATTAATATTATACCTGTATGTGCAACCACTTGTAGCAAGGTAAAACACACACAGAGAGAGAGGATCTCTGCTAGGAAATGATGTTAAATGCTAGAACACAATTGGCAGACCTGCCTCACTGTTAATGCGGATCAGCAGCAGTGGAGACAGTTGTAAGACAGCAGCCAGTGCTGTAGTTGTATTTCTTTATCTAGACCTGCTCTTTTAGCTCATAGTTAGCTGTGGAAGGGAGCAGCTTTGTTTAGCACAGCAGAGATCCCTGGCAGGTAGCTGTCCTCACCAATTTCCTCTCAGCCACATCAAGCAAAAGCAGGTATGTTTGGGAGTTGTTGGTGTCCGGGCTTGGTCGGCTCGGGCTTCCTTCCAAGCTTTTAAGCTTCCCTTCTCCAGCTTTCTAGGCCCTTCCTGGTTCAGGAACCAGGGGTGAGGCCCTTTGCCACATCCACCCTGGTCCGGACGCTTGCCGCTGTGAGTAAGCAGAGCCCACATCCTGTTCCCACACATGAACAATTCCTGCCGTGGCAGAGGCAGCTGTAGGCAAATGCTGCCAAGCACAGGCCCCCTTTGAGCATGGCTAGATCAACTCCCAGAAATGGGAAACCCTACAAAACATCCTAACAGACTGGCTTTCAGCTGCTCCTAGCAGGATACTCAGCAAGCTTATTGTTCAAGGTCACATAAGAGGAATTTCCTAAGCTTTTGCTGTACATGTGGTATTACAAATTTATTCCATCTTTACTTAAACAGCTGCTTTCATACTCATCTGTAAACACTCACTTTAAACCACTTCTTAACGGAAAAAATGGCCAAAGTGACTTCGTGCAGACACTAGGAATGTCGTTACACAAAGTACCTGTGAATCAGTCACCCACTCTGCACTACCCGGCCTGCTTTGCAGAATCTTCCCCATCAAGGTAAGCCAGAAGATTAAAGGGATGCTCCTTCAGCGTGAATCAGTGTTTTCCTAGGAATGCGTGAGTGCTATTGCCATTGGATGGGCAAAACTCTTCTAAGCAGAAATGTGTCAGGGCGAACTGAGTATTCGAAAGAGGCTCCACAGGGAGAACTAAGTGCCTTTTTCCCCTCTTCAGTAGGTCAGAGAGGGGTTGAGTGACAGGGTTAAACCAGGAATGCAGGTCTTCAAGCTGAGTGACTTCTCTTTTCTCTGTCCATGCCTTCCCTTGCTGTGTTGCCAGGTGCCCATTCTGCATCTACTCCACTAACCGCCCCGCAGCGATGGAGTGCCACCTGAAGACTCACTACAAGATGGAGTACAAATGTCGGATCTGCCAGACAGTGAAAGCCAATCAGCTGGAGCTGGAGATGCACATCCGAGAACACCGCCTTGGCAACCATTACAAGTGTGACCAGTGTGGCTACCTGTCCAAGACCGCCAACAAGCTGATTGAACATGTGCGTGTCCACACCGGTGAGCGCCCTTTTCACTGTGACCAGTGCAGCTACAGCTGCAAACGCAAAGACAATCTCAACTTGCACAAGAAACTGAAGCATGCTCCACGCCAGACTTTCAGCTGCGATGAGTGCCTGTTCAAGACTACCCACCCTTTTGTCTTCAGCCGCCATGTGAAGAAGCACCAGAATGGGGACTGCTCTGAAGAGGAGAAGAAGGGCCAGTATTCAACCTCCAAGGAAGCCAGTCCGCTCCTACCAGTGAACAGCTCCAGAAACCTCTTGTCACCCCTCTCAGTTATGTCTGCCTCCCAGGCTTTGCAAACAGTGGCAATGTCAGCTGCACATGGCAGCGGGGCAGAGCCAAACCTGGCAGTGAAAGCCTTGGCCATCAATGGCACTTCCCTGTGCTTTGATAAATACTGGAACTCAGAGTATGCCCACCTTATTCCTTTAACAATGTTTTTCCCCAAAAACCACTACGAGCTCACATTCCATCCACCCAGACCTCAGACTGCACCCGGAGGTGCCTCCTCACCTAAACACTCCTTCCTTGCCTACCTTGGACTAACAGAAAGGGCAGAAACTGTCTGAGGGCAGTTACATTCTGTACCAAAAATACCCCAACAAACCCAGCAGGTATACATTGCTGCAAAACATAGACCCAAGAGGTAATGAACACTTGTACTATATCATTAGTGAGGTTTAGAAAATGGCTCTGTGTGTATACTTATTGCATTGACATGAAAGCTGCTTTATTAAATCTCCAAGAGGTGACCTACTGCATACTTCTACCTTCAGAGGCATGTTCCCAGTACTCTTATCTAAGAAACTATTTTGTCTTGTTAAGCTGAGAAAAATAAGAGTGTCCTTAATGGCAATCAGCACTTGTAAGATTACATATTGATGCATTTTATTTGGGGGCTTGGTTTGCGTGCGGGTGCGTGGAAGAGAGTCTACCTGTAGCGTGCCATGACATCGCTTTTGCACATCCCTTGTACTGGCTTATTTATTTCTTATTCTTTTCCCCTTTTCACACACATGCTCCTTCCCTTCCCTTCCATCTCTCCCTGAACTGCAGAGTTGTGGAAGGAGTAATGCTTGGTTCAGGGTGGGTTGGTCTATTATTTCAGTGCTGTTTGCAGCTTCCTTCAGTTGTGTAATGCCTTGTGCTCACTCAGTTGTCAAGGTTTGAGGATTTGGGGTAGAACTGAGGAGGAAAAAGTTGCTTTCAGCACTGCAGGATCAGAGCATGACAATGAAATGTGTATGCACGTGCACACAGATGCAGTGTGTGCAGTCTACATGCTCACACAGCAGGCCCAGATCTTAACTGTTACACAGGTGTAACAAATACTCACCTCTGGGCCATAGCATACATCTTTTGTTTTAAAAGGGCATATAAATATATATATATATACATACTGTATTATGCAGTGGTTACCTTTTAGTTTGCAGGAACAACTTGTATAACTAGAATCCTATGGTGGGAAAAAAAAAAAAGAAAATCCAACAAGGGGATTAAAAAAAGGGTATGAATAAATTCTGGGTATAAATACTCAGACTAAAAAAAGGCAGTTTTGCACAGTGCTTTAGTCTTGCACTAGTTTGTTTCTCACTTGCAAAAAAAAAAGAAAATATCCCAAATGTGGGCTGAAGGTAAGATGACTGTTCATTTGAAAAGGTACCAGTAACTTCTTTGAAATATAAAGCTACAAAAAGATGCTTTTTGAACCACACAGTTCTCTTTTATACCCTCAGTATTTTAACAGTACTTGCAAATTCTCAATCCTGTTGCTACTTTCCATGTTATTAGTAATACTTTATTCCTTTTTGTTAATGGCAGAGAGAGTGGACACTGCTAGAAAGCTAACTTTATACTTATTTAACTCTCCTACTTATGGTCATTAAAATGGCATGTTCTATGTAGCACTTTATCACAGGAAGAAGCAAATGTGGATTGGTTGTATAACGGTTGTTAATCACAAGAAGCCAGGAGCGATCTTAATTTCCGAGAAGCTAACTGACTGTTAATGGATTTGTGTTTCTTAGACAACTGAATATCCAGGAAGGAAGAAGATCAGGATTAAAAATACTCTGCATTAAAACTGGAAGTATAAAGTATGAAACATTTCAAAATTGTCAGATGACTTACAGGAATGTTTTCTTACTGGATTATTGTTTTCCATGGCAGCTCTTGGATTCAGGTCTCACTGTCTTTTCACCAGGAATTAGAATGTCTGACCCAGCTTGTGTCAGAGTCCCCTCTCTGTCCCTTGGCCAAGCTGCTGTAGGAGATACCCTGAGTCACATCTTACACACCATCCACCCACCTCCATGCTGTCCTGAAGGAATGGTTTCTGCAGGCTGTTGTGGGATGGGAGGATCCAACAGGCCAACCCCTTGTTCTTGACAGCACGAAAGCAAGGCTCCAGTTCAGGAAGGCATTTCTTGTCCCCAAAGGCTCTTAGCCGTATACACAACTAGAAACAGAATTCAGTCTTCCTTAGTTTATACATGAAGCTTGTGTAGGAAAATTTTTGTAATGCAAAACTCATCATTTAACCTATCTGCAAGATCCCTACATTTGTTTTGCACTGAGATGGCCAAACATTCTCCACTGTCATGACCAAACTCTTCCTGTTTGGGGAGGACATCCTAATCTGTGCACTCCTCTTAACATACTGGAAGCTACTCACAAGGGGGAAATACCCAAAATAGGAGGAGGTCAGCATTTGGAGTTACTAATTAAAGGACAGAAAAGTCCCACCATTTTACTTACATTCCAGCAGGCAGTTTTGGTTCTACCAAGCATGTGGCAGATCTGTCTGTCTCAGGAGTAAGGAAAAGCCATTTGTTCTAAGGTATGTACAAATGTCTGTAAGCAACCTGCCTAACTCAGGGCCCTGTTTGCCATGCTTTACTCCATCAGAACTCCTGGTAACACACATCCACCCCCAGAGTACAGACAAAATAGAAAATGCCAGGTTAGTAAATATGCAAAGCATAAAAAATCAAGTAGCTTGCCAGCATGAAATACGCAGTCTGCATCCAGAAGCTATACCTGCTCTTTTAAAATGCACCCATTGCGTAGATCTCTGACCCCACCATAGATGAGCAACCACTTCCAAATCAAAATGCTTATTTTCCAAACCAGCAGGTAAAGTAGAACAGGTAAGGTCTAGGAGGAAGATGTAGGAATATTAGTAGGACACTTCATGTAAACCAAACGGCAGTTTAAACAGGGCTGCAACTTCCAAGAATGAGCTGTCAGCATGCGACAATGTTCCACTCTACCAGTATCTGATATAGTAATGTTTAATATACCTGGGAATTTGTTTAGCACTTTGGAAAGGATAAATTAATTCTTTCTGCCAAGTTATAAGTTTTCTCTGTAAGGAAAAGTGTGTGAGGAGGTTTTTATTTTTTTAAGGAAAAAAAATACAGTATTTATCAGAGCTCCTGCATAGTAAAACAACTGGTTTGCAGTTCAAGGCTAAAGAAATTAACGTTCTCCAGAGGTTCCCCCCACTGACTAATGACCAACAGTCCTGATCAACTCCCCCCCACCATGAAGGTAATTTCATACTTGTTTTCACCATGCATTCTTTAAGGAAAGCTAGCATGCTTTTCCATTCGGTAATTCAGTTAAAGTTCTCAGCACTTTCTTCTGTCTCTTTTTTTTTTACTTGTTGTATTATGTTCAACTATCATTTTGTCAAGGTTTGTGTACATTAATAAAAATTTGTATTGTATAAAGCTTTTTTGCATTATAAGGCTGTACAGGGTCATTTTGACAGTAACTGGTATATTTCTTTGCATCTTACATTGCATTGCCAATTTCTAGTGTATCCAGTTTGGAAGTACAATATACTCTAATTAAAAAGGTTGGCTATATTCTGGTTTGTTTTTTAGTTTTCCTTCCTCTCTTTTTTCACCTTAAATAGATTCAGGCTTGATTTAGAGGGAGGGGGAAAGGATTCTTCAAGGCAAGAAGGTATGAAGTAAAAAGGGAAAGTGTTATCAGTGGTTGAAACAGAAAGCAAGCACTGGTTCTTACTGCTCATGAAGAAATAACAGCACACACTCCTGGAATGGCTACAGAACTTCTCTCTGTCCTTCTTCTCCTCATATCAGTTCTGCAAGGGGGATAACACATCTTCTGAGGAGCTGGCTCAACCATAAGGATGATGGCATTGTCTGGCCTTGCCCTCCTCAGCCCAGCAGTTCCAATATCAGATCCTTACCCAGCAGTTTGGTGAACATGGCCTTGCTTGGGGGAGCCCCAGTGAAATTAGGACAGCAAGAACCATCCTGTGTTCATCTTACATCTATGTATTTTTTTAACATGCCTTATATGTTAAAAAAATCAATAATTAACTAACTTAGAATTGGACATTTTTTAAGCAGAATTATTTCTTATAATCCTACACCTGCCATAGTCATCATGAGCCCAGTAGAACACAGTGTGAGAGAGACTTTGGGGGGAAAAAAAAAACCAGTATTTTCTGTAAAACATGACCGTAGAGAAGGATTCTTCTGGAGGGGATGGCAGAGCCATGGTTTAAAATACATGTTGTTTTAAAAATGCATCAGTTGTGCTCGTAACAGACACACATCTGAATTATATCATCCACCATCATCTCTACTGCTAATTGGACTCCTTGTTGACAAGGATCAGCCGCAAGGTTAAGTACTGGCTGTAAAAGCAATCTAGCCTCTTGCTCAAGGGGTCAGCGCTCAGGCAGACCCTGCAGGAGCCTCCCGGGCCTCTTCCCCGCTATGTATTTTCTGAGAGCTAATAAAACACCGGCGAGACCGCTCCTACCTGGAGGTGTGCCAACTGCCACGCATCTGTGGAGCTGCAGTAAGCAGAACATCCTTGTCTATCGCAGGGGCACTCTCATAGTCTGCAAGGGAAGCGGCACCATCTTTTGCATCAGTTTTATACACTACCCGTGAAGCATCTAAATATTCTAGAGGTACGTGACTGCAGACCTTGGACATGAGGCAGCTGAGGACTGAGTGCCCAGCAAGAGACCCTGGAAAAGGGATGGGGCTGGCTTTAGTCCCCTAAGTTCAATGCCCCTGAAAATTGAGTGCCTTTAAGGCAATTCATCCTTACTAACCAAATGCACTAACTGCTTTTAAAAACCCTGGCCTAAAAATTCTGTTGGAGGCTGCAGGGAGCAGCCTGTTTCCCCAGGAGCACGCTCTGGCTGTAGTATGGACAGCACTGCTGGCACTGAACCAGGCAGGATGGCTCAGACCGCATGTGTCCTGACAAACTGAGGCGGAGTTAACACATTACATCTAAAACAAAGACCAGGATTTCACTTGGCTTGTGAGCTTGGCTAGTAGCTCTTAGGAACCTACTGCTATGTATACTAGGAAGCCATCTAGTTGCTAGACACCAGGCAATGCATCAGAAATACAGCTGTTGTGCTCCCACATGTGCACACAGGTGCTGTGCAACAGCAGTGGCTATATTTACATGTATGGTGCTCTTAAGTACCCACTGTTTTAAAAGAGCAAAGGAAAATAAAATAAAAGTAAATTTAGAGCTGAGCAGTAGCGGGGCGTGGGGGACACCAACTGGAAATGTTTCATTAATAAAAAAAAAACAAAACCAAAAACAAAATTAAAGAACACACCCACCCCTCCAATAGCTGTGCAGTGGAAGACGACAGTGATGCTCTGGCACATCACTGAAGCCTTGTAAAGCCTCTGTGGCCTATTTCCCTCCTTTAAGATGTGGTGAGAGAGGATGTTCCATGCTAGGTGGGGGTTTTGCTTTATTTTGGTTTTGATTTTTTTTAATTGTTCCATTTCCCTCCCTCTCAACTGTGATTAACACACAACATACAGCACAACTCTGAAAAAACCTGCAAACCCAATAGCTTTTCCAATTTAGGCTATAGCTAATGAAAGCAGACTCTGAGCTCCTGTAGTATCCTCTATTGTCTGCAAGTAGTTCTGCTCTACTTTACTTTTCAAACCTCTAAGTTCTGCCACGTACCTTTTTTTCCCAGCACTTCTCAGACAGCATTTCACTGGAATTGCAAACTTTGGCTTGTTACTCCTCTGGGAAGGTGCCCGTTTAAATAAAGAATAGAAAAATGCTCTCTATCTCTGAGCTTCATGCCAATGTTCACAGCACAGCCTAATGCAATCAAAACTATAAATAAGCTTTGCTTTCTGCCTGGTCAAAAAAATATCAAATACTTTCTTGACTCATTCACACACTAGACTGAAGAATTTGCTTTTTAACAGATTTAACAGGAAGCCAGTCAGGAGGGTCAAAGCTGTGACTAACATGCTCACACACAGCTGAGTGGGACTTACTTTAGAACCTATTTCTGCATAACTCCATGAATGAATGTGAGCTTGTTTTCCTCGGCTTGCTCTCACCGCCTCCTTCAGCATTTTGCCACAAATAACCACACCAGCCTGGTCTAGCCCGTACTCCAAAAAAGACTGCACTCTGCCTGAACACTCACAGCAGCAGCACTTCCAGTGCAATGTCCAACACTGACTCATTTGTCAAAAAGCCAGACCCAAGGGCCAGCCATGGGCACCTACCTCCGTGCTGTCACACATCTCACGCTGTATAGCATCAGGCACACAGAGTTTGGGTACTGGGAGCAAGAGTTGCTTGAGGAGAAAGCAGGAAGTCATCTGGCTTTTTTGTAAGACTAACCTCTCTCAAACTGTGGGGGTAGTTTAATGCACAATTTCTAGCTAGAACCAGCAAAATAAATTATGATAAACCATACGTCTCATATTTCTTGTATTACACTTTCCTGACAGTCAGACTCTCCAGTACACAGTGTACAATTCCATTTCATTACAGTTGGAAGTAGTAGCTGTTTCAGCAATAAAATCACAGAGCTTTTTTTCCTGAAAGTGAGGGAAAAAAGTTTAAATGACATGAGCATTTAAGTAAAGATAAATAATTGCAGGAGTGCTCCCTCCATCAGTGGGATTCTGAAAGAATACGCACACATTGGTGGCTGTCACTCATGCCAGTGACACTTTTAAAATGTACCAGAATAACTCTATTTGCAGGTGTTATCATGATGCCCATTTGCATTCCAAATATTTAGTAAGCAAGCATTATGACTTCATGTTTTTATAGCTAGGTACCTATTTTCAATGGGACTACATACCTAGAAGTTAATGAAAAGAGCTAAATATAATGTTAATGTGATTTAAAAATATGCACTGAACCTTTTGTCATTTCGATTAAAAATAAGTAAGATCCACTTATATGGTGATACTGTGATAAGACTGCATTTTACCAGTCAAGTTTCATTCTTATTCAAAGTAACAGATTTCCCTAAAATAGACAGAACCATGAAGAACAGTCCTCCAGCCACTTATGCCAGGAAAATAGAATTAAGGGTGTACTTAATCAGTTCCCAAAATTGGAACCCACATTTTATGGATAAACTCCTTTTGTGACAAACACATTGTTACTTTCCTGTGGATAGTCTACTAAAGCTAATAATTGCATAATAAAAGTTAATTCACAGCCAATTTTAATACAAAAATAATGCCATGTGCACTGAAAAAAACTTATACACATCTGAAAGAAGGCAGAATTAAGTATTAGGCTGGATGGGGCCTGAGCAACCTGGTCTAGAGGAAGGTGTCCCTGCCCATGGCAGGGGGTTGGAACTGCATGATCTTTAAGGTCCCTTCCAAGCCAAACCATTCTATGATTCTACATCTGTGTATCTACTGTCTAAAACTATTGCAAATACCTTCTTTAACCTGGCTGCAGCAGCTCTGCTTGATGACAGCAAGTCAGCCCACCAGTGCAGATGGGTTTGGCAGGTGCATGGTCTTGGCACACTCAAAGGCCTCACGCACCACCTGATGGTCCAGCACTTGGTTGCTGCTAACTTCCAGCAGCTTCATGGGCACGTTGCAGTCCTGGTAGCGTGTGGACCTGGAAAAACCTTTCCCCTACAGAGCAGTCCCAGTATCCTGGCCCAGCTCAACTTATATAAAAAGGAATTTAACAGGAAAAAAAGAATCCACTCATGTTTTCCTCTAAGCTCTATTTAATTAACGCCTCTGGTGCTTCCACAGTAAATCACATCTGACTTAGTCCTAATGTGACTGACAAGACATAAGCACTTATGATACAGAGGCAGGACTGACCTGTTGTCACCAAACGTGGTCTTTTTTTTTAAATCTAGTGTCTCCACCACCATGTTGTTCCACAAGTTATATGTGAACCCACTCAGTAAACAAGTACTTGGTTTGCTGCTGTGATACACTAAATTCATCCCTCACTACTGTCACTGCAAAAACAGTTCCTGATCAGCCTTCCCCAAGCTGTTTCATAGGTGCCCTGGAGCTGGACAGTCCCACACTGTTTGCTCTCGCCACAAGCAGAGGCCGCTTTGTACTTGTAATCTTCACTGTTGCCCTCCTCAGACCCTTTCCACTTATATGAAAAGCTAATTCTTCTTCTCACAGTTCACTTCCATATGTGGTGAAGGGGTTGACCCTGCTCAATCAGTCCCTTCATTCCTCTGCTGCAGCTAGTATCCTGCTCTCAGGGCAAATGCAAGGTTCAAAGCTCGCTCTTGGCACTGCCAAACAACCAGGGACTACCTCCTCCCAACTCATCTGCCAGATTGTGACAGACCCAAAACTCAAAGAAAGCAGCCTTTTGTAGAAACCTCAAAAAGAAAGGCTATTTACCTTAAAGTCCTCTGAGATCTGCTGCCTGTATGTATGTTGACATTGAATTTACTGTGCAAACACTGTAAGCCAAAGAACTTCCACCCCATCAGTAGTCACAGAAGCGCACATACCTTGTCTCCTTTTGCTCTGTTCTGGAAGAGGGTGGCCCACCTGTTGTAACAACTTGCAGTGCCTTA